CACCAAAACCATGAAAGCCCTCGAGAGCGTCTAAAATGACATCCCCGATCGCAAAATTGAAGAGAAACGGGGACATGGGGGAACCCTGTCGTACACCGCTAGTGACGGAAAAAGGTGAAGTGAGCTTACCATAAGCCCACGCTTTGCCTGAGACATTGCAATATAATGCTCGAAGGATGGCGATATACTTTTCGGGTACTCCATTCCTTTGTAATCAAAGCCATAACGCTGACCGATCGACGGAGTCGAAAGCGGCTCGGATGTCCATAAAAACAATGATAGTGGGCTGACGGTAAAGACGACGCGTTTCAAGTAGTTGGCCGAGCGTAAACAAGTGGTCTATATACCTCGACCGGGGCGGAAAACAGTCTGTTCTTCAGGGGAGTGCAGTACTCGAATCGAGGTTAGTCCGCGGAGTAGAATGGATGTTAACAGCTTGGTGACAACGGAGAGTAGACTGATTCCTCGGTGGTTAGCGTGTAGGGTACGGGCAACTTTAGTGAAGATCGGGACGATAATTGACTCGCTCCAAGCGGATGGAACTGTTTCTTCACACCAGATCTTAGAGAACAAGGCTGTTAACTGATTGACAAGTGCTTCGCCCCCGAACTTGAACAGCTCTGGAGGAAGTCCATCTGAGCCAGCAGACTTGAATGGCTTCAAGTGTCGTAGCTCAAGGCAGACCTCAGCTTCAGTGGAGGATTTAAATGAGACGTTCCAAGGCGTGCAAGTAGGCATAATCAACAGACTCGACGGCGGGAAAGGCCAGCTGAATGGAGCGCGGAAGTGTTTAGCCCAGCGGTCCATACGCCTATGTAAGTTGCTTATCGGCGTTCCTTCAACCTCGCAAAGAACCTCACTGACACCAGGTCTTTTGTGACCAGTGGTCTGAATGATCTGGAAGAGCTTGCGGAAGTTTCCAGAGAGGGCTGCTGTTTCCATCTCTGAGACCACCAAGTCTCGCGATCCGTATGCAGGCTTTGCTTAAGTTGTTGGCTGAGAATGCGACGCAATGCACTGCTATTTGGATCGGTCGAGATAGCTGTACGACGATCAAGCAATTCCAGTGGGTGTGCGGAAATCCAGCCCCTCACATGGCGCTTTGTGATTCCGCAGACTGAATGACTGGAAGTTAGCATCGCTTCACGCAGGAAGCCCCAATGATTTTCGATGTCTTGAGGTGGAGCACCAATGAATGCATGCGATAAGAAAGCCTGATAAGTTGATCGAGTAGAGAGGTCAGCTAACTTGTTGGTGTCGAGCGTATGGAGCTTTCGCTTTGAGGAGCCGCCGAAGCGCATGCAGATGACCGCGCAGACCAAAGCATGATCTGAATTGAGGTACGCAGACCAAATCGATCTAAAACCCCAGACGCTGCTTCGCAATCTAAAGCTGATTGTAATGTGATTTATTTGTGACCACGCTAGCGTTGGTGAAGGAGGACGCCAGGTGGCTGCGCTTCTTCTGGCATGCCTAAAATTCATACTTGCGAGCAACAAACTGTGGTCTTCGTATAACGTAAGAAGTCTATCACCGTTGCCAGAACGGCTTTCAACAAGTGCGTGAATGCTACCAAGATGACGTTCGAACGGAAGCAGGCGACCTACTCGTGCATGGAGATTGCCGGAAAGGACGATGACATCTGACTTTTCGGCCTTGTTCAAAAAGTTGTGGAGACCATGATAAAAGGTATCCTTAAATGATGCATAGTTGCAGTAAGTTGAAGTGTAGGCAGAAAGAACAAACAAACTGTGCGTGACTTGAAGGCACATATGTTGGTTAACAGGAGTGAACTGGTTGTTGATTCAGATATATGCTGGAAATGCACTTTGCTGAAATAGTGTACATTTGCTGTAGCTAATTGTAAACAGTACCGTTACCCAGTTCCGGTCTTGTTGTTTTGATTCCGGCGGCAACGTGTCCGCTTAAGGCTTCCAAGCGCTTTGACGCTTACAAACATGAAAGCCTAAGACGTCACACAAACAAGATGGTTAGTATCTTTTGCTGAGGTAATGGATTCGATGGACTAATCCAAGTGTCCATACTGATCACAGGTGCGTAACATTAATACGGCCAAAAAACATGTGTATCGTTATAAATCTTCAAAACTCGTATGAAAGATCTCAAGCAGATCCCATTCGGTCTCTGCAATCACATGCTTGTGGGTAAGGCCATTGAGTCAGAGGCTAGAGGTAAGGCACTTCGAACTAAAGACCTCTTTCGGAAGGGGCAGCCGGAGAGTGTCATCTTCTATCTCGAGCACGCCGACAATATTCATTTACAGTCCTTTCGGCATTATCTCTCGAAACTCTTTTCTTCTCCGCCTATCAAGCAAGAGATTTTCGCTGACCTCGCAGCTCTTGCCAACGATACACGTAGCTTATCCATCAAACCTAGAGTTTCGTTTCACATTGGTATCTTTAAAGTTGGTACTCTAGGTCAGTTCGGACAACAGGCAACACGCTCTGCTCTCTTGGTATTGGCATGCGCTGCCTCCGACACACACATACCAATGTTGAACACTCTGGTTGCGAATCCACCAACAATGATTACACTCTTCGCGTCTTTGGCAATATTGAATTAAATTACTGTGTCGGTATTAGCAAAGATGCTCAAGACAATATGCTCGACAGAGTATTGGTGAACAGCTGCAAGTGTGCGGCTCGACTTCGAACATCAATTTGAGTTAATAAGCACATGCCTTTTCATCGCCTTTGTCCCTACTGATGGTAGTAAGAAGGATATGAAAGACGATTCCTAACGTAAGCATAGTGAAAAATACTGACATTGTGATTGTTGCTGGTGATAGGAAGGCCCATGTGGGTCGTATTTCAGAAACTGAACAACATTTGGGAAGCCGTTACGAGGACGATGTATGCCGAACAGACAATAGCGATCGATTCCTGCAACTGTGCGCCGATCACAACTTTCGCCTCAGCCGCACTGCTTTTCAGCACAAACGTTCACACTGCGTCACCTGGCACCCACCGAATTCCTAAACCACCTAGAAGCAAACTGATCAATCAGCTACAGACAGCTCACATCAGTCTAGGACATATGGTCAATTTGGAGCGCGTTCCTGGGTTCTGACAACGCCACAGTGCGCGCGCCCCCTGGCGCTCAGTTATCCCGATTGGATGAAACATTTCAGTTGTGATTCGTATTCTCATCCCGCAAATGACAAGATAACAAAACGAAAGGCACGCCAATTCTCGTTGATGAATGTGGTTGATGAACTGAACACTGATTGGCATTATCTCAAGTGTGCCACGAAGAATGTTTTTGACGCTCGTTGTGTGCCCACATTGAGACGTGCGAACTGTAAGTGGATCTCTGAGGCATCGATCGGTTTGATCGAAGCAAGAAAAAAGGTGACAATAGGTTTTGAGTTTCAGCATATCCGGAACGCCTTGGGACGACGATTGACAAGGAGTTTACTACTTGATGGGAAACGTGAGTTGCAATGGAACAGCGAGGTGGATAAAGCCAATGCGAACAGACGAATGCTGTTCTAGCTCATCCCGAACACCAGTCCAAAGTAAAGTTAGTAAGATAATAACCGAGAAAGATGGTCAGCCTTGTCGATTAGCCCGTTGGGCGAAACATTTTGAAGAACACTTCAGCAAGCCTGCTGCGACACTGCCGCTTACCGAAGCGGTTGAACCGACGTAGGAAGTAGGTGGCACGCCACCCACTTTGGAAGAAGTTCGACAGGAGCTCACCGTAGTGAAACGAAACACGGCTCTTGAAGCCGAGAAACTTAGGCCATATTTGCTGTAAGATGGAAGTGATTCATTGGACTTGCTGGTCCATACAACACTATACGGGAGACTAAAGAGGCGAATTCAAAAACGCGACTGTCAACTGTCGTGTACATGTTCAAAATGGGTCAACGAAAGTTGTGCGGAAAGATCATCGAAACATGAATCCATTTTCCATTGACTTAAAATTTCTCACGGGTATCATTCTTCGGAGACTTACTGGTCCTCATCGACCACCGAGTTACCCTTCGTCTAGTTTAAGAAGGCGACAAACAGAACACCGACTAGGAGGGTTGTAGTGGGAGTATGCAATCACAAAAAAACGAGACGAATTAACGCGAGGAAGCAGGAATCTAGAGTGGATAGCTAAATGTCTACGTATCACCGTATCTACGCTGATCGCTCAACATCTGGCTGTGATGAGACTGAAGCGGAGGAAGAACCTAATACACTCAGAAGCGGCCAGATAGTATACAATGAGGCATCCACAGAACAACTGCGTTGTCATTTTTACTGAGATTTGAACCGTTTGTCCGTGGAGGACCGAAATGCTGCAGTGGTTTTCGTTGATCCGAAATCTGTCGTCCACCCAGTCATCGTGTAACGCTACCTGTGTAAGGGTATACCAAGGAAATTACTTTCATTCTGAAGTCTGTATTGTGACTCGAGACGAGGTGGGAGTCGAGGGGAAACTGTCTCGTGGGTGCACCGCAACAAGTGGGACCCAGTAGAGTTGTCCAATATCTTTAATCCGCAACTTTACAATTGAAATGATCTTCGATGGCTTTGTTCACACAAACCTTTCCGGAGTGAGAGTACTTCCAGGAAACCGATAGACAAACCTTGAGTATGCGGAGGATATAGCTCAGCTTGGCTCTGATGCAGTGGCTACGCAAGCACTGTTGAGTAGGCTTACATGAGCACTGCACCTCACCGCATGTGCTTTTCGCACAGAAGGACACATTTAGTGAATCCAAGAGGGGCTTAGACACAGCTGACAATTTGTGCATATAGAAGCACAAGCAGCCAAAATGTGTAGGAACACAAACGGGTGCAGAAAGACAACACAGGCTTTCAGTTGATCGGGAGAATATGGCAGTAAAGAGGAAACATGTGATCCGACCTGCGGAATACATTTTATCTTGATAGCGCAAAATATTCCGCGACGGCCAGAACACAGTTGCACACAAAAACGGAGAAGCGGAATGAACGAAGAAGGAATGGGAGTGAGAAACTTACATAGATCAGTGATAGCGTTGTGAATAGCACGAAGCTTTCCCAAATGAGTGAGACCAGAAAACCGTCTGGACAAGACCTGTAATGTAAACAAATAAACAACGGCTGAGTGAGCGCATAAAGAAAGTAAATTAAGCAGGAATAATGTGTAGAGTTCAGTGTTTCCTTTAGGGAGTTAGAAAGATCAAATTAGAAAATCATATATACTAGCGTGGTAAGCGAGTGAAACAACGGTGTGCGAAAACGAACGGCACCAGACACTGGAAGTGGAAACAGTTAAAATTAGCAAGAAACACAAGGGACACAGAAGTACTTCAATGTTCAGTACGGAAATAAAGGAAGCGATTCTAGTACAGTAAAACCATACTTGTTATTACCACAATGCGGTCAAAGCTGATGCTCGGTACAAAACTGAACGGAATTTCAACGGGCAGAGAAAACGTCGAATTAGTCATTAAATCCGTTGGTGATGGTGAGCAGCTTGTGAGAAAACAGCGTAGCGAAGTCGAATCATCAGCAAGCTGGTAAATACCGAGAGAACTGAAATTTCGAGAGGAAAAGCCCAACATCATTTAAAACCGCAATGAATTCGAACAGCTGTTTGCGGATGACGGCCTCTGTTCGGTTATTTACAAGCTGTGTTAACAACAAGAATTAATATCAGGCTGTTCGGTGAATTGGAATTGATTCGTAGAAAATATGATATCATTTAATTCCATTATTTATTCTGGATTTTTGAACCATAAATACTGGTATCTCTAATCTCGGAGATCATACCATTACTTTATGCTTCAAAACCGGTCGCTAGCTTGGACACAGATTAATTATAATGTTGAAAAAGTTAACTTGTGGTGCTTGCTCTAATATTGTCGGAGATAAAGAAAATGCACACACGCGTCATGTGAAATAACACATTAGATGCACTGGACTTCCGATTGAGTGTTTCCGTGAAATCCAACGTACGTTCGTTCATATTTTATGTTACTTATGAGTAGGAGGATTTTAGTTGTATTCCTCCCAATTTGACTAGCGCTGGGTTGACGATGGAAGACACCAAGTTGCTTAGTGACGTCCAGGTTGAGGAAACCTCGTGTTGGGAAGGAAACGTTGATAGTAAGTACACAGACCCAACACACAGTCTATCTGTTGTCAAACAGGGTGTCATCATATATATGCAGTCTCCCGAGGTAACCTTCACATGGCAACAACCGAACGAAACGCGAGTTGGACTCTCCAGCCATAACAAAGATGACTGTTTTGAGGCGCCCTTAGGAGCAGCTCGTGAGGGTGTTGATAGAACTGATTGTTAACTGTATTCGGGCTGCAGTCAATGGACGCGTAGGTGGAGATCACAAAAAGAGCAATCCCGTGGTCTCGATGCCTACTAAACTGGCAAGAGCCACGAAGCATCATAGCGCATAGAGGACCGTTGACCGGAATCCAATCAAGGAGGGAGGCCTCGGATCTAGAACTAAAAGTAATCTCCACATAAGCTTGTCCAAATGCGGCAGACTTGGCGAGACCAGTACAACGCGGAGATGAAAGCGGGTGTGTGGGCGGAGTGGTGATGACAGCTGGTAGACAGTGTTGGTGTCCTAGTGTCGTGTTTTACTCAAACAGCACACACAATGCCAACTGTCTTTAGTGTGTGTGCAACTCCAAATTGCTGTACGATCTGCACGTTGAAGGTCGCTAGTTTGAAATGCGTTCCAGGTTTCAGAAGGCTGGCAGCTCCCAGTCGATGACTGTGTGGTTGAGTTGACGGAAGGTAAAGGATCTAACTGAGAATGTGATGCAAGCAAAATGGGGTCCCCAGCGAATGCACCGAAATTGCAATGGGGCATACACTACGTTTCAAGTGAACAGAAAGCAAATTTGAAGCACTGGGTTCCCTGTAGCAGTGTAAACAATACAATGAGAAGACGGGCAGTGCACGATGATATCATTCCGCGTTTTCTGATCAAATGCAAACGAGCGACATTTAACAAACATGAAAGGGGAAAGCAATGAGTTAAATGGTGTCAGAATGGGAATGGAAGAAACATAAAGGTATAAACTCCAACAGAATCACAAACTGCAGTCCTCTTCGATAACCAGATATCTAGCAGGAACAGGACACCAAATCGATTCTAACTTGGCATTTACGGTCCTCTACTGTAAAGGAAACGCCAAGATACTCAAACTCGCGGAGGCTGTGGCAATTAATCACAGTCATCCGGACCTGTGTGTGTAAAACAGTTGACTGTCACTCCCACGCTTCCTTAGGGATAGTGACAATTGTCTCAAACGTTGTGATTCTGTTGGAATTTATGCCCTGATGTTTCTTCCATTCCCATTCTGACATCATTCAAAACATTGATTTTCCACTTTCGTGATCATTAAATGTCGCTCGTTTGCATGTGATCAGAAAGCGTAAAATGATATCATCGTGCAACAAGCAAATACCATATCTTGAAAGGCTATCGAAGCAAGGACTCAGTCTGGAAACGAAATCCAAAAAATGAAAGCAATTAATAACTTGATGTACTGGTAGCCCGGGTTGATCGTTCTTGGGTTCAATTATTCGCCGAGCTTCGTAATTGGTATGCAGACGTTTCATCACCATGCGAGGTGACTTCCTCAGTGTGCTGCTGGGTCAAACGTAATCCGCTGGTTTGGTCATCGATTTGTGATTGATTAGCAAGTGACTTTTGAATTGGCCCTCTCAATCTGTGCCCCGTGACCATTCGTCTGCCCAGCTTCTCTGGTAAATATGGGTGTTCCGTAGGATCACAGCACTCTATACATAGCGCACAACAATTTCTGGAGAGGATCAAAGGTATAAGAGTAAATCATGACGAGATAATGGTGTCGTTTGATGTGACCGCACTCTTTATGTCTGTCAACTTACAGACCGCAAGGCAAGCAATCATCGAACGGCTGGACCAAAGTGAGAAAACAATCGGAAAGCTGACGACTGAAAATCTGTGCAAGCTACTTGATCTATGCCTCGCGACCTACTTCGCCTTTGATGGACAGATCTATGAGCAGGTGAAAGGAGCCCCAATGGGATCCCCTGTGTCAGGACTCGTTGCAGAAATAGTAATGCAGAAACTTGAAGAGGATGTACTGCCGATAATCAACCCAAAGTTGTGGATCCGATACGTCGATGATACATTCGTGATACTAAAACGTAGTCAAGTAGCGGCTGCATACGAGTTACTCAATAACACCATGGAAGACATCCATTTTACGATGGAATCGGAGATAAAAGACCAACTCCCATTTTTGGATGTGTTAGTCACCAGGACGATTGACGGAGCGTTGCAAACATCGGTTTACAGGAAAGGAACACACACCGACCAGATTCTAAACTACTACAGTAATCACCCGAAATGTCACAAAATAAGCTGCGTGCGGACTCTCTTTCGTAGAATTGAAACACATTGCAGCACTCTTGAGGCGAAGAAGAAAGAAGAGCTATACTTATTCAAATCATTCCAACTAAATGGATATCCACACAGCTTTGTCCGGCGATGTCTAAACAACAAAGCTACGACCTCTCCGCCTGCTCAAACGACAACAAAGCGAATCGTTCTACCTTATGTAAAGAACATCTCCGAGATGACAGCAAGATTATTCAAACAGCACGGTCTTACAGTGGCTCACAAACCAACCGCCACATTGAGAAGAACCCTGTCGAAACCCAAAGCTAGACCTAAAGCACACGAAAGACGAAATGTTGTGTACAAGATACGGTGTCAAGATTGCGATAAGAACTATGTGGGTCAGACAGGAAGACAATTGTCTACAAGAATACAAGAGCATAAGAGAGCTTGTAAGAACCATTATGCTCTCTCACTTGTTTCAATACATACAGACGAAGAAGGACATCACTTCGATTGGAACAACGCAGAGATCCTAGCACAAGGAGAGACACGAAAAGGAAGAGAGTTCCTCGAGGCATGGTACTCGACGAAGCACTCGATAAACATGCACGTCGAGATTGACCCGGTTTACGAAACGCTAAGACGGAGAGAATTAAAACAACTTAAAAACCGTCGAAAGCAGTTAACAGACCCGTTAATAACACAGCCGCAACAACCCGGACAAAACCATCCTACGGAACGCCCATATTTACCAGAGAAGCTGGGTAGACGAATGGTCACGGGGCACAGATTGAGAGGGCCAATTCAAAAGTCACTTGCTAATCAATCACAAATCGACGACCAAACCAGCGGATTACGTTTGACCCTGCAGCGCACTGAGGAAGTCACCTCGCATGGTGATGAAACGTCTGCATACCAATTACGAAGCTCGGCGAATAATTGAACCCAAGAGCAATTAGTAACTAGTGAGGTGTCCGAGGAGACAGGGGAGAGCGAATTATCACCTCGAGCAGGGTTACTCTCTCTGTCGTTATTGGGGAAGCCAAACACACTACGCCTTCACGCTGTTAGTCTTTCACTCCCACTACTTTCGCAATTACATGCCTTGTGTAGGCATGGTGGTACTTAACTGAACCGTTCTGAGTTTGAGGATCATGAACAATCAAGTGATTGGGGCAAAAATCAGTAAACCGTGATTGACTGGCTTGCAAGTGTGTGTCTGAAAACATATCAACGACAAAGTTGAGCAACGCGTTCGTTGGTGTCAGAGACGGCAATAACAGTATGAAAAGTTTGATCTGTCAATTGACTCCCCACCTGAACTGGCCAATATTGGTCGCTTCCATGTTGCCAGTTAGCTGCATTGGTTACTTTGTCGGGAAACAGCGCCACCAGCTTCGCCAGATTGTGCGCTGCCATCGCAAACTGAGTAATTGGCAGATACGGATGACTGGCCACTAAGTTTAAAAGATGAGGAAAGAGCAATGAAAGTTGGTAAACGCATAACCAGCGGGAGAAAAATATCGAGATATGACCCATAAACATAACCGACGACCGCTGTAGTTGTATTCATGCGTTCCAATTAGTGCAAAGATAGTGGGGCTACAAGAAAACTATTTGTTATTTCAACATGGAAACATCTATCACAGCTACATCCCATGTTTTGGATCTCACGAATCTACTCACTTGCCTTGTCAAGATCAATCACTGATCGAACAGGAATTATCGCATATCTGCCTGTACAAAACTGATCATGCCTTCTTTGGTGTGTCTCGTGTAACATTGGTCACTATTGTCCGGGAAGTTAGTAATTACACTTCTCACCGTTTAAAACAATGTAACGGACCGTAGAATAGTAAAATCCTGAGCCCCAGAACATGACAACAAAATGTAATTATGGCCGTTCTGCAGGGTTGAAGGACATACAGCATATCCGCGGAGTTTCTTACTACAGCTTTACCACATGGTACATAGGCCGAAATAAAACTGAAAACTGTCATTTAGCAAGTTCACTTTCAAAGGTCCAATGCAGATGGGTAGTAGTGGGCAAAAGTTGACTATTGCAAGTGACAAGTTCGGTGGTCTATTTGTGGTGACCTCACACTGATGAGCGTGACAAGAAACAAAGAGAACAGCGTAGTGCGGGTCAGCGTTCCCTTAGGATTACATAAGCTGGAAAAAGTACGACGAGTAGATGGACAATGGATTGTATGGGGAGTAGGTGGGTGTTTCAAAAGAATAAATAAAACAAAACATAATCATAGTGAAATCACACATGTCGCGCTTACTAGACTGAAGCAAAATCAAGTTGTCCGAGAAATTAGCTTCAAGCAGTGGCTTCATGAAGTGCGGCTCTAGTAAGAAATCCTGAAGTGCTCCGAGCTGTTTGGAGGCCCTCTGGAAGTAAGCAGCCATGCCCTCGAAATCAGACCTTTAAGATGAGGGGGCATCATATGCAGAAGCGATGACAAACGGATCACGACCAGCAAAGCAGTGAAAAGTGTGTGTGTCCAAGACGAGTTAAGTACTAGGGAACATTCCGGATAGTGATCAATCCCTGTATGTGTAAATAGTCAGCCCATGGAAAAGTAGGTAACTGATTTGATAAGGAATAGCATGCCGTAGTGGAGCACAATATAAGAGTGGATAAAAGTAGAGAAATTGATGAAAAAACGACGAATGATATCGCCCTGCCGTTAAACCGAGTGGACGAACCATTATGCCTAATGCGTCCTGTAAAGACCCATCTGGTTTCGCACGAAAGTAGCTGAAATGTTTATCACCTGGATCAAGTGCATTCGTTTAGGTCCGCAAAAGTCAACAACCCAATCCTGTAGGAGTATGTAACACTAAAGAATGGTGAAGAGGGAAGCACCCTAAGAACAGAAGTTGCTGTACGAAGCCTGAAGCCAGTAGACTTGAGCTGCATAGTACTCGAAGAACTCGAGCCAATCAGTGGATAGAGATAGTATTTCAAAAAAGTTGAGAGCACAAGAATTTTTATGGCTGTTTCGATCGCAGAGGGCACGCATTTCATTCGCCGCAGGGAACTCTAGAAATAGCTCTTTGTAAACTCTTGACTAAGGTATGAGAGCTACTGTAAAGAAAATGGATAGGAGAAAGGAGATTCTTCAGTAGGTCCCTTATGAGATAAGAATTGCGCGAGAAATGTCAGGTGTCGTTTCGACAACGACTGACGGTGATACCCAATCCGAGTCCTCATTCCAACACAATTATATCGCAGATACCACCACGGAGTTAAACGATGCAAGTATTGAAGCGCCCCTGAGGGAAAACAGGTTAGCCCGAACAACATCCTCTTGCTGTTTGACAATAGTGAGAGCAACAAAGCCAAGCTTTGAGTTTTTCTTTAGAGTCATCCTATCATTTTGCAAGTGCAATGAATCTTTAAAGTGCTAGGTCTTGGTGTTATAAAGCACCATTGGGTTGATAGTCCATTGAACCTTAATGACATGGAATTAGCAATAGTTGATCAATGCTTTCTCTTAGTAGTTGCGTCATTAGAGGCGATCGACCTCTGATTTTGGTTCATGTAATGTAGTAATGTTTTTGTTGACATGCGGTAGATTTTATGCGTAAACCCTGATATGGAATGCCGTACAAACAAGGCCACTGTGTGTACCTCTTACTCTACGACAGTGAGAAATGGGTCACTATGAAGAAGGTTATTGTTCAGTGGACTAAGAAGGGGAGCGCTCGAATGGTGAGCAAATCCGTTTCAAAAGACGTCAACCCCAGATATTTCCTGAACGATAGTATTCAGCATAAGCAGCGTGGATAACAGCCAAATTAGACCACAGTCAGAGTTAGTAAAACAGCCGGTGAGCCCCGGCAGCAAAATCACAAATTCTGTCTAGTGCGCCTTTCAGTTAGTTCATCCCCAATGATTGTTGCAAGTGATCAGACTTCAGGGAGAGCACCGTTTGCACATAATCTAGATCACTATCGATGACTGTTGTTCATGGTGTAGAGCAAAAAATGCTGACTAGCGGTACACCTGTAATGCGAATAGTCGAGAGGAGAAAACACTAGTTTAAGGTGGTGATCGAAATTATAGGTACCTTGCACATCATGTTGCATGGGGAAAAATTTTTAGTAGCAGTGCTTTTGCTGTAAATGACACAACGTTCGTTTTTTTTTGATAATGTGAACACCGCAATCTTCTGGAAACAAGTGTGAACGACAATAGAGCACAAAGTACGAATCAGGAGTCCCCATGTTTCAGACAGTTCTGTGAGGTCAAATATATTCGAACGGTACTGCAAAACGTTTCTGATAACAAGACGACCTAACAAAACAATCGCTCGCGAAAGGGAAGCACATAAATAACACATAAACTTAGCATACACTAGAAAGCTGTAGTGGTCGTGGCTTCATTCACCCAGAGTATGACAGAGAACAGAACGAGTGATACCACATATAAGGTAGAATTGTAGAAGCTTCAGAAAAAGGAAACCCGTGGGGGACTCCAGCCTGTTACCCACTCGAAACAATTCGCATGGGTTCTTGCACCTATTACAATCTCAGAATTAACGAACAACCGAACTGGTTGGTATCTTAAGAATGTTTACGAAGAGTTGGAAAGGCATACGTTTTGGAATTGCGACAGGCAACCCACACTATGTTCGGTCAACGCACTTTGGGAACGAGAACAGTGAGAAGCAGTCGCCTGAGAGTTCGTATTACCAAGGTTGGATCTACACAGCAAAAATATTAAGAAGTCAGTTTCATAGCTAATTTGTTTTTGAGACTTAAGCAGAAGCAAAATTTTGCGTATTTCTCATCCTTGTTGCTCTTTTCTTTTACTCTATCGTATCCCATTGGTTAGTTCATCAACATCACCATCATCAGCAACAACAGCAATGCTTGTTAACCGACAGTGGGAAACAGCTCAGCTAATGTGCCGCAATACAGACTACAAAAGCCAAAAAGTAACATAATGCTAAAATCGCATTATGCATTGGGTTGTTGGAGGAGGAAGCTAATGGGGAGGGGAGGAACAAAGATACTCACAAGACAAATGAGGTCGGCTCCCCGCATTATCAGCTAGTGTATCTAACCAAAGGTGCTCATCATCTTTCGGACCCCAACCCAGCAGTCGGGAAACAGCAACCGACTCTAAGTTCGAAGTGAGGGACTTCATTCCTCTAGACAAAGTTATTTCTTGACCTACTCTCCTCTTCTTCCATCTACACCCCTAAGTGGCACGCAAACAACGCATGTCGCGGAGTCGGTGTCCTGGCATGCGCTACACGTCGACAAGCCAACGGAGTCTGGTGCGTGACATAATGGTGCTGAGCGATTCACTCGCGTTTCCTGTACCAAATACGCGACGCCGAACATGCACATTGCTCACGCGGTGTTCCCACCTGACATGAGCTAACCTTCAAAGGCAACTATGTGGACGTAAGTAGCCACTTTATGTCGGCTGATCTAATGGACCAGGTTTTGCAATCGTGTAGAATGATTGAGTGGACGGCTGTATTGTAAACTCTACATTTCAAAGCGAGAGTGATGTCACGCCAGCGCCACAAGTGGCAGAGATTGCACTACACTGTTCGTGACCTCATCTACAATCGCACGGGCGCTAACATAGCTGTCCAAATACTAAATTTCTGGACAAATTCTAGCTGATCACCGCCAAGGGTCAGCGCAGTAGTGGATCTCTGCCAATCTCGGATGAGTTTGCATTTCGTGAATGTAGAGCATAGCCCGAAAGGACTGACAGCCAGCTAATTTATCAAGTGCAGCTTAACACGTTTGTGAGCTGGCACAGATGAGCGCAATGTTGTCGGCATACAAAAAGTCAAGATGTCAGTCATTTGGGAGGAGCTCCACACCCTAAGTCGTGCCCGTTTTTGACTTCATCAATGGCGAAGTTAAAGTGGAAAGGTGGCAGTAGGCAACCTTGTTTCACATCGCTGGAGATATTGAAGGGTGGCGAAAGTTGGCCGTAAAACTTCACTCTGCCCGGACTATGCGCGTACAGCGGTCTTATGACATTTACATATTTCTCGGGCACATCTTTAATCAGTAGACAGCCCCAAATTAAAGTAGAGAGCAGAGGCGAGGGCAACGTCATAACAATGTCGACGCGAGTACAATCGAACCCAGAACGGCAGTCAGCTTCGAAGAATTGCAGACACTTTTTCAGCAGCAGCAGATGCAGGTCGAAAAGTCACACAGGAAGTTGATCGAACTGCTGTCACAAGTAAAACATTCAAGTAAAATGGGAACCGGAACTGAAGCTGACGTCGCGAGAAATTGCATCAGAATGCTAAAGGCTGCTCAGCTTGAAACGTAGTACAAATGTGGTTGCAAATTCGGAAGCCAGGAAAGAGCAAAACTTGTGCCACACCGCCACTTTCCAAGTTGATGGGCCCATCAGACGTAAGTATGCAAAGGTGGAAATCAGTGGCGATCAGATTACGCGAATGAGAAGACGCCACGAAGCAGTGCGCCAATCTGGTCCAAAATGCTGCAGAATGACCAGTGCAGCCATGAACCTCAAGCTAGTCACTAAAACAGTAGCCAGAAGAAAGCACTTTGTGCCAAGGAAGTGAGAAAAGCATTGCAGTTGTTATGTGGAGTGAAATCGGACAGACAGGATCAGTCATGGCAAAATTGGGAACATGGAGTACGTGCAGGACTTCCGAGGACCGAGGAAATGGTCGAGAGGAGGGGTGATCCGCAGAAATGGTTGAGCTCTCTACCAGCTAATGGTAGGAAATGAGAAATGGGTCAGGCACGCCAATCAGCCGTGGCCGAATCACGGCAAGACTCAAAGTCAGTCAGAACCGCCATCCCTACCGTGGGACATCCTGCTACATGTTTCGCTTGGAAGACAAAGCTGAGCGGCTACGTGAATCACAACAGGAGCTGCAAACAATCAATGACGAACAATGCAGGCCAACCCGAAAGCGGAGAAGACCACTATGGCTGCTAGTTGACCCAAAGGCGAAAAGTTATGAACAAAGTCGAGTTTGTACAGCACGCAAGCATACTCAATTCGAAAAGGGAGGTAATCGGAGGCCGCAGCCTAAGGACGCGATACGGTTTGCAGATGTCTGTCTGGACGACATCGGTTGGCACCCGACCGACGGAGACACGGCCGAGTCACGCCGAAAACTGATGAAATCAGAATGCCATCATCGCACGGCTACTATGATGCGGACGTGATCGTACTTATAGTCAGACAACTAAGGCAGCTAGCAGGGTTAAATTTGCTCAGACAAGAGACGTGATTCACCTCAGAGACAGACCGGTGAAGTAAGAGCGTGAGACCAATAAAATTAACCGTGTTCTGTTCCTACTATACTTCGATGTCCTGTTTTTGTCCCTGGCTGGGTTGGCAGAGTAGATAGCAGAGAGAGGGCAGCGGTACAACACATCGGACACCAGAAATGCGTCACAGACAGTGATGATCAAAGACCCAAAAGTGCCTCAGGTCAAATGGGCAGTTCTTGCCCCAAACAGTAGAACGGCCTTAACGGTGACCTTGTGAACACGGCCTTTCAGACGGAGGGAAACCCATTTCTGATGCCGCAATAACAGTTCTAGCACTTAAAATACGTGAACTGACTTCAGTGGTTAGGCGCTCAACGTTGCTGACGCACCTGCTAAAGTAAGTGAAGGGATCAACTTGAATTCCTCGCTATCAAGTATCGAAGTGTCGTCAAGGAGCTGGTGGTCCTGCAACAACACCTTGCACTTTGGAGGAGTGAAACGAACGCCAAATGAGGTTATTCAGGGTTGACTGGGTCACCCCGACACTGTTAAAAAGCGGGAGAATATCGTACACATAATCAAGATCAACTAGCTTTGCACCAAGCAACATTCCAACGCCGGCATCGTTAGATTTCACTAGAGAATACTCTAAGATGGATCCCACAATGAAGTTTAAAAAACATAGGGAAATTGGACAACTCTGACGAACGCCAGTTGTTGGAAAGGCATCAGACAAGTCACCGTATCCCTAGACGCGGCCTGCGATGTGCGAGTATAGGGTACGACGTAATTCGTTGCCTAGATCAAGGGTGGTTAAAGTATTTTTAAATAGACACGGAAGCGGAAAGAACGTGATGATCAATTCAAGTGCTCCTGTGAAGCACAGAACGGTGAAAGTTACGAACATAGGACACCTGGTGATGGAGAAAGTGGCATATAATTGCACCAGATATGAAAATCAGCGGTTGGAAACATTGATGAGTAGCATGGTGAGGCGACGTTAAATCAGCCTCTGGGGCTATCATAGTTTAGCAAGTGGGGAATAAACGCTCAGAAATTGGCTCATAGACGAAGTATTGTGAGTCAAAACACATCAGACCGATGGGAAGCGAAAGACATGCTAAACGGTATTTTGTACAACACAGTCATCGTGTTTGTTGATTAGATCAATCAATGGGTGATTGAGCGGTAGACAGACACGCGCGGCCAGTGCGAACAGCCAATAAGAAACGCACAAAGGCAGTGGACTAAAGGAATTCAAAGTGGCATGTTAACAAAGTTGAAGATAAGCAAACGTAAAACCTTAAAATGTCAGAACTCACGTTCGCAAATAAGCGGAGGCAACCCTTGCCACGGCAACCCCAGCTTGATTCAACAATTTAGAATCCCAACATGCCCAAAACAAATGTTCAACGTCCGTGGCGGTGATTGCAGGCGAACCTTTCGTCGGCTTGGTAAGAGCATCGAAAGCAATGTTAACAACATCCGGAAACTGGATCTTCGAAGTGCGTTGGCCAGGTTCCAAGGGCGGCTCCGAGTCCCGCGTGAAATCTTTTATAAGTTCGATCACACCTAATCGAGAAGAGAATAAATCGCGGTCCAAAAATAAAGTAAACGGCTTCCTGCAGTCGTATCAGATGTCGTCAGAAACAAAAAGTAGTGAACAACCTTGTTGTCCGGGCGTCATCATTAGGCTAGAATGGATACGATAGGTACCAAAAGCGGCGAATCATTGAAGCAAAGGATCTAATCGGGTCTGGTTTATGTGAACCTCGTGTTGACTCTAGCCTGCTTTCGTGTGTGGTCGTATTAGCCTGATGAAGAAGACCCGAAAACAAGCCTGTTAGCTACCATTTGTTTCTGATGTCTTCGCCAAAAATTATCTCGCAATTGAAGCAGTATGAGAAGTACGGGGTGGAAATGGAAGCCTCTTGACGCGTGCGCTCTATTTTCTCCGTGTACCAGCGAACACCGGTGGACGCGACCCAAGAAATGGAATGATAACTCCGATGTAGTATGTGAGGGACGACTGATTGCTTTTTTAACACGCAGAACCGAATTTTATCTGGCTCGTCGACGCAGCCTTGAGTAAGCGAAGTGAAAGTGATGAATAATGTAGTGTGCTAAACTTTCGGAGATTGAATATAACTTTATTCAGCGACCGGGTGGGGATGAGTACCAATGAAGTCGAGGTCAGGCGCACAGTCATTCCCCAAGGGCCAAATACGCGTACTTTTTATGCTATGGAGAGAAAGTAGCATGGCACCAAAAATAAAAGCACTAGAGACCAACAAAAGACCGCGAACAAACTAGTAGCTAACTCTCGAGCTAGTCACAAGAGTCGGACCGGATAAACACACTGAACGCCAGAATAAAAGAGCGCACCTGTCAAAGTGGACGTCGGTTTTACAATTAGGATATGTCACCTGAAGCACAGCCTCTTCGTTTTTACATGAATCTGTCGTGATAAGGTTATGTGCGAGTGAAATAAATTAGCTGGTGCAGCGGTGATGTGTGGGGAGGGGGGGCAGAACAGTTACATTCGAAGAAAATCAGATCGCTGGCTTGGGACTATAGACCAAGGACTGCGCCAGGTGTAGATGTAATTTAGACAGTGACTATGCTGATTCCAGCACTCATTTGCTATATCAAGAGAGAGGGTGATACATAGAGCGCTGTATGGAACGATTGCGCAGTGTATGGCAATAGATAATGAGAACAGCAAAAGTAACTCACCATTAACATTTCCAGACAGAAGTTCATGTTGAACAGTCCGCCAGAGAGGTCTGGAAAGTGCGAAAATAAGAAGACGTTTTAGTGAGGGGAAATTCCAAAAAGGAAAAGAAAAGCCTGAAACAAGATGCATTTGGATGAACCTCCGTATGCCAAACATGACGAAGTGGGACAGCAGGCCTGAATAGAACAGTATTATATTGACACGAAAAATGGATTACAGCACGACAGGACAGTAGAAGGGAAAAAGTTAGAAAAGCTATAAAGAGGCGGAACCGAAGTGAGAAGCGAGCAATTCAACAGTAGAAAAATAAATACATACCATTACAAATTGCAGCTTGGATAAGAAAAGCGGAAGATTCATAGGCCAACACAATACAATAATTGTTAAATGCACTATAGTGATCTAAAACGATGCGTCGCTGCTGTGTAACCACAATGATTTATGGAAGCAAGAATATTAAGAGTGGAAAAGGAGAGACATAGTGTAAAATGTAAGTGACCTAAGCGAACATCCAGGCAACATCATCTTGTTAACAACATATTGTCACAAAGATAAGGCGACATCGACGAAAGTTTCCTGGCGGATTTCACTGCGCCGTGTCATACTCAGCCATTATCCCGCGGGTAAGTTAGCAGCAGACACACAGTAAACAGTCAGTCCGAATGTAAAACGGCAGCAGATATGCCACTGATACGGACTGCGAGTCATGTGCTGTAACGTCTCGAGTTAAGCACAAGGCGCTTCCAGTGGGCTCCAGTCGGGAAGGCGAGACGGCACTCAGTTTTGTAGACAGGGACTTCATTTGGCGCTGTTAACTTTGCGCAGATCGAGCCTTGCATCATCCTACATACGGCCAACAAAGCGCGGTTCTGATTGGTTCACTACGAAGCAAATCGCGGTTTACATTGAGAATGCGCATTGCAACCCATTCATGTAATGAGTGCTTCAAAATGACCACCAAATCAGTCGGTAACCGTCGGGCCAAGTGTTGTGCGCCGCGACTCGGTGACTTAAGGACAGACGTTTAGGCTGACATTCCAAATGCTCCGGGTTTGTGGGCCCGCTATCTTCACCTGATGAGAACAAGCTAGTTTGAAAACATGGCTCACCTCAAAAGCAAACACCATATGAAGCACGCGCCTAAGGTAACTTGCCCGTATTTGTCATAGGATCGCCTGTATAAGTACGCAACTACTAGCATGGTGAACCGCCCAAGACTGAAGAGACAGTGACGGCGCACCTTGGCAGTATGTTTATGATAGTAATAATAAAAAATAATAATGTGTCAGCTGTACGCCGTAACGGCGCTTCGCTGCCGCGCAACCACCACCAGTCGCGCGCGGGCTGAGTATACCGCGAGGACGCCCATCCCTACGCGGATTCGAACCGGTGACCTTATGGTTGCAAAGCAAACGTGCAGACCACTCGGCCACCGGCCGACAGGTTTATGATAGTACTGTATTTGATGGCACATTGGTATGTTATCGTAACCATTTCCGACCACGACGTGTACAGAGGACCATGTGTTTATGTAACTGTCACTACACCTATCGTTGGACACACTGGGGATCGTAGAGGAATAAATGGTATCGGTGGGAGCCACCCAGTCAACACTGAAGCCCGACTGTCCAAGCTGCCGAATAGGACATCTCCGCAGAGGGTCGAAAATGCTACAGGGAAACCGCTGACAAAAGCAGTACAAACTTGCAGGTAAAATGATGGGGAGCCCGCGTAGCTCAGCCTAAGTTGTGAAGAGTTCGCCTGAGCTCGCTGCCATAGCAAGCTCACACCACACCGTCAAGATGTAAATACTCAAAATGCGCAAGTCACCGTTTAAGTATCCGCATAGGACAACGTTGCTGAATAAGCGCGAGCCGCGCTGTAACTATTGTCTTATGCTGCACTGACAAGTAGACTCCATCGAGAACACTGCCACATGTCAAGTCTTTTTTCTTACCTAAATTCACTTTCCCACTGTTCATACAGTATGATGCTACGCCATTGAGCAATAAATGCGAAGGCGTAGAAGACACGTCGACTTTGGTTGAGTAATTAAACGAATGCTTGCTATCGGCCAGTCATTTTTAATGGGTTTCCGCGCAGTCGTGCGAAGTTAAGAGTTTCGTCCCCAGGCTCAGCTCACGGTGTTAAACGTCTGGTGGCCAGATTTTGTAGGCTGTGCCGACCCGAATTCCACTAGCCACTATGTGCGTGGAATACCGTCCAGACTAGATGAGTTGAAACAACCAGGCTGCTTATAGTGGGTAGATAGTCGGAAATGTGCTAAGGTAGTTTGCGGTATGGCGCAGATGGCAGCCAGGATGAATTGATATGGAAAATATAGTGAGAAAAAGTGGGGGCTGTACCTAAGAAATCGCGTCTCTATCATATTGGTAACCATTTCTCGCCTTAATTGTCCATCTTTTCTCAAGCTCTACTAAAATTTAAAAATGTTCGCCACACTGATACAGTTTTCAGTTGAGGTTGTCTGTGTTCAACATGCAAAACATTTGAACGCGGATTCAAAACGAGTTAAATCATCAGTCTTGATTATAATTTTATCCAACAAAAACCTGCTCTACTAAGGTCCACCTTTGTGGAGCATCATGATTTGAACTGAGCATCAAGTGTACCCCAAAGCGTAAATTGGCCAAAACGGCTAGCAAGAGTACGCGTAACCGGCAAGCTACGTGAGTGTGAATTGAGATTAGACGACCGACGGCAAGATCGCACCGGTCCATGGGATTAAGAAGGTGGCGTGAGTTCTAAAAATGTGGGAGTTAGCATGGGCACAGGATTTGGTCGTTCAACAACAAACTACAAGGCTGCCTGTGTTAGACGACTGAGTTGAGAGAAAAACCCCCCTGTGAATGTTACTTGCCGCGCTCTTTTGCAAATTGGTTGGGTTCCTCTGGCATTTAGATCGCAACACCAAGCCAGGAGTATTTTGAAAAAGCAAATGCAATTACAGGACAATCGATGTACGCCCCTGAAAAGTATTTGAATGCTATCATTTCCCAGTGCATCTTATTCAAGCAAGTGCGTAAAAATGCGCAAAGAAGTGGTAAACCCCGTCGCCAAGCTACCCGCAGTCACGAGGAAGAGAGATAAGGGGTAAAAGTGTTGACGAAATACAGATGAAATTAAAGTCAAAAGAACAGAAAGAGGGGCGCCCCAGAAGCATGAAAGAAAGAAGTAATGGATTTTATGAAAAAACTTCGGCAGCTCCGTGAAAGTTTCAGAATGTAGAGGCATTTAGCATGTCCCTAACCAAGCATGCGATAGCTAAACAGCATCACTTAGCGGGGTATTCACATCAGGTTTGCAACGGCGGTAATCGGCAACCTACAGTACCATTGAGAATACAGGACCGAAAGCCGTATCGTCGCACCGGGAAACGCTCACACGAAACGATCTGCGCGCGTGCAGACCCTTCGTTCCAAGGTAATAGGACACAAGAATTCCGTCCTTCAGGCAAACGACCACCGAAATGCATGCTGGACTACTGGTGTGTGGACAGACAGGCGCACATTAAGCGAAGCGACCGCTAATGTGAGACAGTGTGACCACGGTGCTTTTTATGACTGCCCAACCAGTATTTGGTGGGCCCGACCAAACGAGGTTACTGCGGAGAATGGTTGCTGTTTTGGAACGGTGTATCAGAGATGGAGCACAGTGATGCACGTTCGTCGGCGACTTATCTGCGACCGGAGCTACAATACGTGGCTGTTGATCAGCGCGTACTGATTCTTCGGTTGTATGGTCAGTGCGGTTTAAACGCTGCAGAAACTGTGCAACGATACAACACTGCTGGGATGCGACCCGTAAGTCGCCGTTACGTTCTGAAACTGGTGCAAACGTTCGAAGAAAGTTGGTGGTGTTTGCAACGCCAGACAAATTAGTTGGTTTCGTATCACTGCGGATGAGTTTTCGACTTGCGATGTTATCCGAGAAGCTGAAAATCCCGATCATTACAATCGCCCTGTGCTGTGACAGGACCAGTTACGTGGTTCAGTGAATGTTAAAGAAGAGAAAAGTTCGTCGGTATAGTGAACTTCAAAAGCAAGTTTTAAACCCCTGCGAGCTGGAGAAACGGTATGCATTTAGCTACTGGTTCTTAGATTACACGGATATTCACACCATTATTTTGTCGATGAATCAGTGTTGTACTTGAACGGAATAAAGTGGCAGTATTTTGAGGCAGCATTTAATCCAGGACGTTACCGAGAGTTACGTACGCAACATATTCAAAAGCTCACGGTTTGGGCTGGAATAACTGGTCGAAAAATCGTGGACCCATTTTACTTTTCCAGCAATGTGACTGGTAGGTTATTTTTTGTGTAGTACTAAATACTGGTTGGGCAGTCATAAAAAGCACCGTGGTCACACTGTCTCACATTAGCGGTCGCTTCGCTTAATGTGCGCCTGTCTGTCCACACACCAGTAGTCCAGCATGCATTTCGGTGGTCGTTTGCCTGAAGGACGGAATTCTTGTGTCCTATTACCTTGGAACGAAGGGTCTGCACGCGCGCAGATCGTTTCGTGTGAGCGTTTCCCGGTGCGACGATACGGATTTCGGTCCTGTATTCTCAATGGTGCTAGAGTTTTGTCAAACTGTTTCGCGTAACATCGAGAATATACATTTTATTTTCATGTATTTTATTTTACAAACGTTCGAATCTCTAACATTGGGATGAATGGTAAGTCAAACAAGACGAAGCATTTTTACTAAGATGAAGAGCCACAATGGCGTTGTATTTTTGGTGCATAAACTAATGGGGAACTCTTGCAATAGTTCAAGGAAATATCCATGTATGTAAAAGTTGTTTACCACGTGAGTTTGCCGCACAAGTGGTCGGAAGATATATAGAGTTATGTGCTGAACAATGGAAACACTTACGTTTTTTTGGACATGTCATCAGCGCGATCCGATCTGGTGCCCATTGCAAACTTCAAGGATTCGAGCTCAGTCTAAAAGCGTATGAGAGTAGAATGATTAGACGCTGATTCGGTTCGTGTTTGAATCTCATCTCACCAACACGGACCGGATGATAAATTTAAAATATGGCCAAATAGTCAACCTCGGATATAGGAAATGACGCAAGCACAAGGCTCCTTTTCCAAAACCCCTCGAGGTTAACTTCACTGACAGCTGTCCGAAATCGCGTTTTATTGAATACCGACAGTCATGGTGCCATTGGAGCCAAAATAGATACAGCCAAACCTGTCTAAGTCAACTACTCAAGTTACTGACAAAATTGGTCGCCTTGGACAAGTGGTCTCCATGCAGGGGTTCATGAAAATAGACATTACCCATAGGACAAAAGGTTGGGGGTGTTTTTCGTTGGTCACCGTAATAGTTTGGACTGGGTGTTGTCGACAAGATGGCTCAGTGATAGACAGCGAAACTGGTCAAACGCATTAAAAACAAAGAAAAACATTTACCTGAATGAAATATTGCTTAAACACCAGGCAATGTAATGACACTGTTTTTGTAACAAAGTATGGGAAGCGCATGATACACGGGAACACCTCTGTTCTCCAAGATATGGTGTAAAGAATATATTCCACCCTGTTGTGGCGAATCGAAAAGCGCCCCGATCTTCACATATGCGCTAGCCAGAGGAATCTGCCTAATGACCGTCGCCGCTAAACTGTTGATATTCATTCTAGTTCGCAGACTAACACCGATTTGGAAACTACACTCCCGTGAAGACCGACATGTTTCCATCCCAACAGAGAATGTGTGTACCACATATTTACGACTCGTCGAGCAGCGTCCCCAGTATAGCTTTTGGACATCCGAGCTGCGTTCGACACGGTTGATCGACCGGCTTTAAGGTGTTGTCTGCAAAAGAATGGGGTACCCTAAAAGTAGACCGCCATTCTTCTAGCATTATACAGCAACGTCTCGGACAGAATGAGGGATTACGGTGTTTCGTACACTGGTCATCAAAACTAGCGGTGTACGACACGGATCCCCATGTCTCTCGATTCTCCTTAATTTTGCAATTGAGGATCTCCCCAGGGTCTTTGCGTAGAGGTTGTTCCCGGTAACAGTGCGACCAACTTGGACTATGCTGGGTCTAAATTGTCTGTTTTCGCGCCGTACTATTATATGGAAGTGAATCTGGGCCGATTCGTGTAAAGCACTTGCGTCGGACTGCGGTCTTCAAAAACGGTTGCCTACGGAGCATCGATCCGGTGTGGGAGGAACACTACGTTCGTAACAAAATTCGTAAAAGTCTCAAAAGGCTAGTCACGACTTACGCATGCCGTGCCCGCGACAACCACGGCGCGCTCTAATCGCTCGCACAGAGGCACGGTAGAAGAAATCGCGCAGTGGTCAAACTATTACATGATAACGAAAGGTCAAAGTACTGAGTTTCAGTTTAGTAACCGACGGACCCGTACGTCAATCGGGTTGGGGAGCGAATGATGAAACAGTGCACTGGAAGGAAACATTTGAGGACATGGTGCGGAATAGAGCTCGACTGATGATATGTTTGAGTCTATGAAGTGACTCAAATGATTAACAACATAAAGACGCAACCGATAAAAAGACAAACCAAGTGGTACACAAAAAGTTGTTATTACTAGTGAGTGGGGGTTTTAATTGTAATGTTTTCATCCCAGCTGCTCACAAGCAACATAACACGGCCTAGTCCAGAAAAGCACGAGACGCGTTTCACCCTCGTCAGTGGTGCGCATTTCCCGGTCTCCTACTGGGGGATCGAACGCATGAACGTTAGAGGTAGGTGAAAAATAGCCAGCAGCCTAAGCAACGGGGGATATCGGTTGGGCAACACAATTGGCAAGTTAACTTTGTTGATGCTTCCCACTTTGAGACTGTTGTGCGTCTTACACACATTCATCCTATGGTTTACGATGGCTTTATGACAACTATGTAGACAGTTCTTACTTCACTGGGATATGCTGATTACACCAAAACCATGATTTAATTTGGATTAGAAGTATTCCATTTTATTCGATTTGCCAAGTTCTGTTATTCTGCTGCATGTACCACGTAAATGTTGCGCATATTTTTTCCTTGAAGTTCTGTGTTGGCTGTTAGATATCCCCAGTGTGACTGCACCTGGGATGGATGTTGACAAGTTGCATTATCTGTCCAACATCCTTCAACTCGATAACTGACTTCAGGTGACTGCTAATCTATCCTGAGGGTTGCAAGGTCCCCGTTGAAGTGCTAGTATCAAAGAATAGTTCCAGTAGGTCATGAGTGGACTACGGCCAAGCCATGATCTCATATACGTCTGACACACTTGATTTCCTAATCAGACAGGGATGTTGATGATATGCATGTTTAAGGAGTGAGCTGGCTCCCTTGATTAAACGTGGCTCACATCCGCATGTCTCCCGGGGTTAAACTGGATATGGGTGTGTGGATGGAGCTGTGAGTGGTGCAGCGCAAGCCCCACATGGTCCTTCGGTAGACGCAGGCATCCTCTGACTGTCCGCGTGAAGGCCATAGTGACATTATATATATATATATATATATATATATATATATATATATATATATATATATATGGGGAATCAAGCGCACACAAGGCGGTGGCTGGAACGTAGTCCGCTCCACACTGAGTGCATGGAACCACTCTTCGAGCCTAGCACGACCACAAGGACCGTTCACTCCGACAGCAGTTCGATCAACTTCCTGTGTGACTTTTCAATCTGCATCTGCTGCTGCTGAAAAAGTGTCTGCAATTCTTCGAAGCTGACTGCCGTTCTGGGTTCGATTGTACTCGCGTCGACATTGTTATAACGTTGCCCTCGCCTCGGCTCTTTACTTCACTTTGGGGCTGTCTACTGATTAAAGATGTGCCCGAGAAATATGTAAATGTCATACGACCGCTGTACGCTCATATTCCGGGCAGAGTGAAGTTTTACGGCCAACTTTCGCCGCCCTTCAACATCTCCAGCCATGTGAAACAAGATTGCCTGCTGTTACCTTTCCACTTTAACTTCGCCATTGATGAAGTCATAAAAACGGCGTTCTCTGGGCACGACTTAGGTGTAGAGCTCCTCCCAAATGACCAACATTTTGACTTTTTGAATTCCGACGACATTGCGCTCATCTGTGTCAGCTCACAAACGTGTTAAGCTGCACTTGATAAATTAGCTGGCTGTCAGTCGTTTCGGGCTATGCTCTACATTCACGAAATGCAAACTCCTCCGACATTGGCAGAGACCCACTACTGCGCTGACCCTTGGCGGTGATCATTATCATCTTCATCATACACGTTAGCCAGAGGTGGGGAATACCTCAGCTACTGTGCCGCAATACATAGAAAAAAGCAAATGGTGCAAGCCGGCTGAGCTACCGGTAACGGATGGTCACCGTTCCGGTAAGCTACCAGCCGGCTAATGTGCATCAAAAAATTACTATGCAAAATTATATAAGGCTAAGTAATGAGATCGTGGTTGGAGGGGGAGACTAAGAGGGATGGGGTGGGACAAAGAAACTCACAGCACGAACGCCACTGAGGTCAGCTCCTAGCCATATCAGCAAGTGTGTCCAACCAAATGTGCTCATCGTCTTTCGGACCGCAACCAGGGAGCCGAGACGCTCCATCCGAGGCCAGCTCAGAAGTGAGGGCCTTCATTCCTCTCGACCAAGTCATCGCTTGGCCACCCCTCCTCTTCTTCCATCCACACCCCCGGCGCGCAAACAGCGCAAGTCGCGAGAGTCGGTGGGCTGGCATGCGCAACACGTGGCCCAGCCATCGGAGCCTGATGCGTGAAATAACGGTGCTGAGCGGTTCAGTTCCTTTTCCTGTGCCATAAACAAGGCGTCGAACACGCTAGTTGCTCACGCGGTGTTCCCACCAGATGTGAGCTAAATTGGGAAGGCATCGGTGGTCGAACGTAACTAGCCTCCTCAGGTCCGCTGCTTTAAGCGGCCAGGTTTCACAACCGACGAACAGTTGCACAGTAGACCTGCCCTATGATGGAGAGACGAATGTCGTGGCGACGCCACAAGTGCCTCAGCCTAGAAAAAGCAAACCTGCTCTCGAGATGCGCATCGAAATCTCGTCTCCAACAGCTCCGCTAGCAGTGATGCAACTTTCCAAGCAGACAAAGCTCTCCACAACCTCTAGTGTCTCACCACCAAGAGTGAGTGCAGGCAGAGACACCTGCCAGTCTTGGAAGAGAGCCTTGCATTTGGAAGGCGAAAAGTACACACTGTACTTTGATGCTTCAAGCGCCAAGCGGTTTAATGCAAATTGGACGACGTGTGGATTGTCACACAGCAAAACGATATCATCAGTATAAACCAAATCAACAACTCGACTACTTGGGAGGAGCTCAACGCCAGCGTTCAACGAATCGCCTAGAGCGTTTTTCAAGACATCCTCAATGGCAAAGTTGAATAGGAACGGAGAGATAGGGCATCCTTCTCGAACTCCACTGGATACCACAAAGGTAGGCGAAAGCATGCCATAAGCCCTAACCCTTCCCGAGGTCAGACTGTATAGAGCGCGCAGTATGGAGACGAACTTCTCGGGGACACCGTTCCTCAGAAGGCACTGCCACAGTACTATACGATCGACAGAATCGAAGGCTGCACGGATATCCAGGAACACAGCAATCGTTGGCCTCTGATACACATGGCGGAGCTCGAGAATCTGGCGAAGTGTGAAGATTTGATCGATGCAGCCGCGACCAGGACGAAACCCAGCTTGTTCTTCTCGTTGCAACGATTCGCACGTTGGGGATAGCCTGTGAAGTATGATAGACATCAGCAGCGTGCAAACGACGGGGACTAAGCTTATGCTTCTGTACTTGGAGCAGATTGTGCGCAGGCCATTTTTGAAGATGGGGACGACTATCGATTCACCCCAAGATGACGGAACTTCGTCTTGCGACCAGATTTCCGAGAACAAAGCAGTGAGTTTTCGAACCAGCGAAGCGCCACGATCTTTAACTAGAGCTGGAGGAAGACCATC